CAAGCTTGCAGTGTTCTTCAGTCGTCAGTAAAAGGATCCGATTGCCTGAAAAGCCTTCAAAGTAAAGAACTTCTTCCTAAGACCGACTGTGCTACTCGTTGGAATAGCACATACGCCATGCTCTTACGTATGTTAGAGTTACGCAGTGCACTAGCTGCCTTTTTTGATCTGGCGGCTAGGACTGGTGAATTTTCTTACCCCACTTCCGCACACCCTACGGTCGAGGACTGGCTTACGATTCGGTGCTTAGTCACATTACTTGAGCCTTTCGCCAAAGCTACCGATGGTTTGGGAGGACAGAAGTACCCTACATTGAGTAATTGCCGTTCCAGTACTTCGGTCAATCGAGAGGAAGCTAAACAACGCCAATATTTTTGATCCGATCATTCGATCTGTTGCTAACGAAGAATTTGGTCCTCGAGTGGAGACATTAATGCATTCAGTCAGAGAAACGTACATAGAGCTCTTTTCCAAGCGGTTTAAGGACAGCTTACCGCCGGATTTGCTGTGGATTTCAGTGCTGGACCCACGGTCAGCCGAGCTGAAGCACTTGAGTCATGGTGAATCTACACTTGCTGTATCTCGACTCAAAGTTGCAGCTTTTGAGATGGCAAAAGAGATAAATACAAACAAATCCAGTTACAACGAGGCTGCGCAGGTAGCCAGCGATTCAGTACCCCAGTCCGGCTTAACGAGGCAAAATGTAGCTTGGCTGACAGACGTATTTAGCGGTGGGATGGACGAGTATGTGGAAGAACCGCTCAGTGTTGCCGACGATATGCTGAAAGACGAGTGCGAGTCTCAAGTCCGGCAATATTTAAGAGATGCACATGGAACTCCTGTTACTACTGACGTATTGGACTGGTGGGCGAAACGACGAACTAAATACCCGATCGTATCGGCTTTGGCTAGAAAGTGGCTCGGGTGTATAGCAACTTCTGTGCCGTCCGAACGTGCATTTTCAAAAAGCGGAAATGTAGTCACCACGAGGCGCTGCTCGTTAGCCCCCGATATTATTCGCGATACTTTGTTTGTCAGTGAGCAAAGTGATAACAGTGACGAAGATGGCAGGTAACATTCCGGTATTGTTGTATGAACGAATGATGAAGTGAAATATACGTCAGTCCCATCCGAACGAGCATTTTAAACTGCCAGCAACACATTCACACCAAAGCGATGTCAGGTTGATAGTAAATTAGTACGGTGACTTGATTTTTTATTTCGGAAACTACGTACAATCTTGTAGTACTGGTTTATTGGACTTGTTCACGTAGTCGCGAGACTGAGGAACGTTAAAATATGCGCGTAGCACAAACAATATTTGTGCCTGCGCCTCGTCTTGAGTCACAGTGTAATCAACAAGAACGCGGAGTTTTGCACGTCCTCAAGGTTTGTTTCAGCTTCTTTATGTCGTAACACGTCATTCCAATTAGCGCGTAAGGATTGGCGTCTCGAGAGGGTCGGTTGTCCAGGTTTGTGAGTCTATTTAGGGATGATGATCCATAAATTTAACCGCGTAAAGCACTTCACCTAAGTTCTCTTTGCTTCCACAAATATCTTTCGGCCAGCTTCGAAGCCGTCACACACCAACAGAGCGACGTAAAATCAGGATCGACACCTATGTAACCACAGCGAGCATACCATCCAATCCATAAGTACCTGCTTCATATCGTAGCCAGTATTGTCCTTGCGCATCGTGCTCAAGCTGTCAGTTACCATACCATTAGCCAGAACGTCTCCGGTACCCAGCACTGTGCCGCGACGTGTTCCATATTCAAGGGGCGCCAACGTTTGTAGCCACAGCACACCAGCATTGCAAGTACTCTTTGCTCCAAGATTTAAAGGCCCTGTCTGGCAACTTAATTGTCAAGATTCTCCAAAATGCATCCAGTAGCGCACACCAAAACACTATACTCCTCGCCGAAAGACACCACGCTGTTCATCGCCGTCACTGACAGCACAATTTCGTCGTGCACTGGAACGCTGCCACGCACCAGGCCCATGTTGCCCCCCAGCGTCACCACCGGCATGTTGCGCTCGCTACATTATTTGAGGATGGCGGATACCTGCTCTGTGGTGTTGGGCTTGGTTACTGGCTGCCTTGTAGTCATTAACCCCGTGTAACAGTTAGGTCTTAGTGGCACTAAGACCTAACTGTTACACGGTTTTTTTTTTTGCCGACGGCACTAAGTTAGTGCCGTCGGCAGCAGTGAGCAAATGCAGGTCGACAATAGTACGTTAGCCAATCCGAATAAAGAATTCATTTTAGCCAATTAAAACACGTATCGTTATTCCATCGCTATCGCTTCGGGAAACCCCAGATAACGTTACGCAATTGTCGCGAAGATAACGGTGAAGGGATTCCCTTTATCGTGCATAGGCTGTGTTGTCGATATGCACAAAATAAGTCACAGTCGTTTAGGCTACCCATGTTGAGTACAAAGGGTACATACGTACCCGTAGCGCCCGCGAGACATCGCCAATGCATTCACAGTTGTAAAGAAAGTCATTCGTCCTTTACGCGATAGCTTTTGATTCAAAAGCTAAATGCCGCTTTACATTGTTCAAAAGTTTTGAACAATGAATAAAGCGGCATTTTGGCGATTATCGAAGTGTTCCAGCGATGCCGTGCCAAGGATGAGGTCATACCTCGCATCGAGGTCTAAGACCAAACAGCGTCCACGCGAA